CCCTGAGCCCGACTCCGCACCCCTCCTGTCCGTCTCTCTGGGGAGGAAGTTGAAGCTGTCGTGGAGAAACTGGTCTGGGGTCAGATCAGGACTAAAACAAAAAACAAAGCTGGCCTCTGGCCCCCGGGGGCCGCTAAAGAGCGGGACTCTGTAGAGCTGTTTCAGCGTGTCAGTGGTCATGTGACGATGACATCATCCACTTCATCAGCTTCAAAATCACAAACGGCCTGCAGGCGGCACAAAGACCGGAGGTCCCTGAACGCATCACCACTGGGCCTTTTCCACTTCGGGAACCGAACCACCTGTGAATGAATGTTGCCGTCTCCTTCCAGGTTCTTCCAGAACCTTCCAGGTCCTGTGAAGCTCCAGGTTTCATGGCGTTGAGTTCCTGCAGTGGAAAAGAGCTCTAACGCATCTCCTTTGTCCTGTGACACCTGAACGCAGCACAGATGAGTTCACTGACTCGCCCAGTCCTCCGGCAGCAGCTTCACCCCAGAGCCCCGCCCCCTCCACCCAACCTGACCAATCACTTGTCAGCATGGATCTGAGCTGGACTCTGAAGCGGCTTCACACGGACCGATGATGATGAGGAGGAGGAGACACAGTGAATGTAGACGTCCAATCAGCTTTCAGCAGAACCAAGAGGAAGTTTGATTCATTTCCTGTTTTGTTTGTTTTGATGTTTGTCGTCATGATGTCATCAAGTTTAGACCAATGAGAGAAGTCGTTTGCATGATCAAACCTTTTATTTTGTCGTTAGTCTGAACACGTAAAGAACAAAACCCCTCGAATCTGAACGTCTCATCAGGTCAGAGGTCAAACACCAAACTGCCGTGATATGTTCAGGGGCTGTGGGAAATTATGCAGACTGTGAAATAAGCTTCTGGTGTGAATATTAACCGGTTTCAGTGAATCCACGAGACGCTGTCACTTTATTCTAATTTCACTAATCAGAACAGCGAAGTCACTTCCTGCGTCTCGTTTCACGTTAAAGCTTTACACGGGCCGACCGCATGGATGCTTTTATTGTGAAGTACAACAGGAAACGGGTTGTGTCACAGACGTCCGACAGCAGAACTTCACTGCTGTCATGAAACCTTTAAAGGATCTTTAGAGTTTTCAATCAGACGCGTCAGGATCAGTCACTTCCTGTAAATGCGTCTGTAAATGTGAACGCTGTTCCTGCAGACCCACTTCCTGCGCTCAGACCGGCTGCGGCTCGACCCGAGTCTGGATCAGTTCCACACGGCTGCTATCGGAGCTGCAAACGGTTCAGACGTGTCGCTGATCGACGTGCTAAACAAACGCTTCAGCTGCAGAACCAAACTAAATGTTTCACACACACATAAACATACGTGTGCGTGTCTTTAAGTAGTTGAATGATACGCTTTCATGTAACCTAAGACTCAGATTCCCATGATCCTTTGCGGTCTGGGTCGTGTTTACACGAACAAGCGTGTGGCGCTGCCTGAAAAGTTCGTAACGAAGAGAAAACGTTGAGGATCGTTGTTTTCGTTTCACCGCCACAGACTTGTTTTCACTAACTGCAGCAGAAATGAATTTAAATCACTGAAGAAAAACTACAAACGTCATTAAAGTGCATTTTTCTTCAAACTCGCCGTCGTCCAGAAAGCAGTTAAAGAAAATGTGTGAAATTCAGTTTCTTAGATGCAAAGTTCAGTCACACTTGTGATAGAAGCTCAGAGTGAACTGAGAGACACGACCTTTAAGATGCAGGCCACGTTTTTGTGACATGAAACGCCCACGAGCAAATACATATTCCAGATTCAGTAATCCAGAGAGAGCGCGTTCAGGTCTGAGCGTTAACCTGTTCGCCATTCTTGTTTTGACTATCGAGCATTTCCTCGTGTAACCGTGTAACCTCGCTGCTGTACTGCACCGCGGCGCAGAAACAATCCTCCGTATGAAAACACTTTTACTCTCCAGGCGGCGGCGTGTGGGCGGAGAGACGTCTTGTATATTGCCATGTATATCGACTTGTGGCCACGTCCCACTGCAACGCTTAAGCCCCTCCCCCTTCATTTTATTTTTTTATTCTTACGTTCTAGTCAGCTGGTTTTTGTTGCACGTGGTCTTCAACTCACCGTCCCGTGATTCGCTGTCAATGGAGACCGTTCCCGTGGCGGGAAAGCCATCCCTCGCCGCTGGACCGAACGGCCGCCACAGCTTCTACTGTCAATCAAACTGGAGTCTGGTTTTAATCAGAGGAAGAGTTGTTATTGATCCGATGTGATCATAACATCCGTTAAAGTAGAACCTTTCAGCAAACTGAACCAAACTACATGGACATTTCTAAGAATTTAAGGACAATCCTGCAGATAATAATACGTGTAGTTCAGTGGGGGGGGGGGGGGGGGGGCGGAGCTGTAACAGCGTTTGTCCAGCGGCGAGACGTTTAGGGAAAGAAAACATGGCGGCGATCTGTCCACTCGACACTTACAAACCTGAACGCTGCTTCCTGTCGTCCTGTACATAATGTTGAACTTTATTTGTTGGAGCATTACATGGTATGAAAGTCTGATTTTGTACAGATGTTCATGTATGTACAGAACAAAATAAACAGAAATAAAGTGGACATGTTTGACAACCAGTGTGTCTTTTATACCAACACACACGTTTAATCGTTCAAAACAAGGTTTCAAAGGCTTTAAGGTGGAATGTGACTAAATATCCAACATTTTACACTGAAAAACCCCAAACTTAAGTTCACAGAGTGGCTGCACATAATGAAGAATCTGCAGGATGTTTTCTTGATTAGTTTATAAAGAGGAAAGAAGCAAACACCTTGAGTTTACTGTCACTAACTGATCTACTCTCTAAGAAGCACGTTTTAAATTCAGATGATTTCATTTCCCCAGAAACGTCCTCAACGTTCAACATTAAGAGATTTAAATGATTCCTCAAACAATAAAGAAAAAAAAGAGTTTGTAAAATTGTGTTCCGGCGCTTTGATTCTGAACATTAAACTTTATATTAAGACAAACTGCTCTGTAGTTCAGACGTCGGCCGGACGGTTTGAGGAGACGGACGTTAGCCAGCAGCTCATCAGAGTCCAGCTGGAGTCCGGCTGCGGTCCTGGTCTGAAGGTCTAACTGAACCTGGACCCAGGTGGCTTCACTCACTTCAAAACTAACATATGACCCGAAGCCTGAACCCGATCAATTTAAAGGGATTTAACTCCTCAGAGCTGAGACGGGTTACTGATTCTGTTCTCTGCTTTTAAATAGCTCAGAATCAGGAAAATCAGTCTGACGGAGAAATAATCTTTTATTTATTGTCTAAAAGTAAAATAAAATCTGAAGAACAAACGGATCAAGACAACATTCAGGTGATTCACTCGTTCACTACCACTCACTGTTTACTTTCCCAACCCTCTGGCAGGGCAGTGAAGTGTTCGTGGTGCGTTCAGGGACAGTAGAGAGTCAGTAGAGGTTGATGAAGCGGTGGCGGTGCGTTCAGGGACAGTAGAGAGTCAGTAGAGGTTGATGAAGCCGTGGCGGTGCGTTCAGGGACAGTAGAGAGTCAGTAGAGGTTGATGAAGCCGTGGCGGTGCGTTTCTGGGACAGTAGAGAGTCAGTAGAGATTGATGAAGCCGTGGCGGTGCGTTCAGGGACAGTAGAGAGTGAGTAGAGATTGATGAAGACGTGGCGGTGCGTTTAGGGACAGTAGAGAGTCAGTAGAGGTTGATGAAGCCGTGGCGGTGCGTTCAGGGACAGAAGAGAGTGAGTAGAGATTGATGAAGACGTGGCGGTGCGTTCAGGGACAGTAGAGAGTCAGTAGAGGTTGATGAAGCCGTGGCGGTGCGTTCAGGGACAGTAGAGAGTCAGTAGAGGTTGATTGTTAGTAGAGTTGATGAAGCCGTGGCGGTGCGTTCAGGGACAGTAGAGAGTCAGTAGAGGTTGATGAAGCCGTGGCGGTGCGTTCAGGGACAGTAGAGAGTCATAGAGGTTGATGAAGCCGTGGCGGTGCGTTCAGGGACAGTAGAGAGTCAGTAGAGGTTGATGAAGCCGTGGCGGTGCGTTCAGGGACAGTAGAGAGTCAGTAGAGGTTGATGAAGCCGTGGCGGTGCGTTCAGGGACAGTAGAGAGTCAGTAGAGGTTGATGAAGCCGTGGCGGTGCGTTCAGGGACAGTAGAGAGTCAGTAGAGGTTGATGAAGCCGTGGCGGTGCGTTCAGGGACAGTAGAGAGTCAGTAAAGATTGATGAAGCTGTGGCGGTGCGTTCAGGGACCGTTGATGTTGCCCCTGCGGGTGAGGCGCAGGGCACCGGCGCTCTGCCGGCTCTGCAGCGTGCTCTGGACCATGTCCTTCCACTGGTCGTCTGAGATCTCTGTGGCCCACGACGGCACGGCCAGAGACGGCAACGCCACAGCCGCCATCGTCCTCTTCACCAGCTCCACGTGGTCTGCGGGGCGACAGGAAGTGATGTCAGTGGACAGGAAGGATGTTACAGCTTTTTAGTTTATGTCATGTTTCCTATTTTTTTGTACTGATCAGATGTATTGATCTAATTAATACCTGCGTCCATGGGGATGGAGGCTCGGCTCCTCTGGGCCGCCGCCCCCTCAGGGTCGTCCTCCTCGTCGCTCTCTGGGGGCGGAGCTTCAGGCAGGTGCAGACCCATCACCTGCAGGACAGACAGACGGGTGAGTCAAACACATCCTCCCCCCTCAGACGCTGCCGGCGTCCCAGACTGAACTCACCTGTATCCTGTGCTGCACCTGCTCGGTGGGGGAGGGCTCCTCCTCCTCCCCCCTCTCCTCCCCCGGCTGCTCGCCGCCGTTCACGCCTTCAGGGTCCTGGTTCAGAGGTTGGTAATAATACCCTCCACTGTTCTCCTCCTCCTCCTCCTCTTCCTCCTCCTCCTCCTCCTCTCCCTCCAGCTCCATCTCTCCCACCTCCTCCTCCTCACCCCCTCCCTCCCCCCACTCCACACGGGCAGCAGCGCTCCGTCGGCCGGGCGCTCGTCCTCCCCCAGCTCGTCCTCAGAGTTCGGCAAGACTCTCTCCGGTCCCATCGTGGAGCTGCAAACTTCCATCCACGGACACACTGGGGGGGAGACGGGGGAGACAGGGGGGAGACAGGGGGGAGAGGTGGTTACTTTCAGCTGGTGTCAGACTCCTGGAACTGTGGAGCGGACAGGTACAGCCAGGACTAACACACCTGGGGCCCCAACAGGGGCCTCTGTGTCGCTGTGAGGCTGACGGCCAAGAACTGTCCTGTTCGTATTAGGGGGGGGGTGCGGGCGGCGCCGTCCTGTTCACCCTGTACGCAAACGAGTGCACCAGGAGGAAACCTGCCATCTCCTCCTGCTTCACCACAACCCAGACGCTCTCACCGTTAGCACTAAAGAAACTTGGACCCTCGGCCGGTGGGGGATCAGACCCCAGTGTCCACACAGGGATCTGGTCTCCACCTGGATACCCTCTCAAGCTGGAGGGATCATGTGGACTATGTGTGTTCCTGTTTACAGCAAAGCCTGTATGCAGTGTTTGGAGTCAGCCAGACCATCATGGTCTTATTCTACCCGGCAGTGACGGCGCGGGTCGGCAGGTGTGCAGGGGGAGGTGTGAACAGGTCAGTCGACCCATATGAGCTCCCAGAATCCCAAGAACCAAGTGAACCGTTTTAAGAACTCTTTGGCCTGGTGCTGCTGACAGCCGGGCCCACCTGTGTCTGGACCGGGACCGGGTCTGATGCCGGACCCGGCAGCGCGCGGCTATATGGATCTAAATGCGTCATTTAACAAGTCATCATCGTCACGGTCCTCTGCAGAACCAGCACGCAGCCTCACGCACGAGACACACCTGAACCCCGGGATCTACCTGAACATGTAGCTGACAGGTGACCACGCGGAGCCCCGTCTGCTCCAGAGTTCCCGGGTGCTGCAGCCCGGTGTTCCGCAGGGGGTCGGTTCACACCTGCAGCAGCCAGCAGCTAACGAAGCTAACTGTTAGCTGCTCTGAGCTGGTAATTAAACTCTCTCTTCTTCTTCTCCTCCTTGTTGTTCCAGCGCGTGAGGAGGAAGAGGAGGAAGAGGAGGAAGAGGAGAAGCCTCCCCCTCAGGTGAGGAGTTCAGGTTCTTACCTGTCTGCTGTGTGTCTCTGTCGGAGCTGTTAGCCGCTGCTAGCTGCAGCAGCTGAGCACACTTCCGAGTACGTCACGACAAACAAAATGACGCGTGACGCCAAATAGATTTTTTTTTAAATAACGAACTTTATTAACAATTTACAAGAAGAAGAAGAACAAAACGCCAACAAACAAACACATGAAACAACTCGTCTCCTGAAGTTAGAGAGAGTTTCTTCATAAATATCTGGTGTGAAAGGAAAATATAAAATTCTTTATGATACAAATAATAACCAAGTGGAATAAAGATCAGTCCATGAAAACACATGAACAGAAAGGTGCTGCAGATCTTTCAGCCTCACATTTCATTTAGTAACCGTATTTATGCATTTACAGTTTAGTTGAATGGAGGCTCGGCCCTCAGCTCAGTGTTTCACATCTCGTCCACAGATTGGTTTTTAAAAAGCACTTTTATCAGTTTCAGCAGCACAAAGTCCAAGGACGTCACTTTGTGTTGGGGAGTCATGAGAACAAGATAACAATATTCTCCAATACTATTTAGAATATAAGCTCTATGATTGGGGAGTCTGCCCCCCGAACATTTTGAGCATTAAGCTCTTAATTTCCTGCATTCTAGAGACATTTTTTTTGTCTTTATTTATATGAAGGGAAACAAAATTCATGCGGTCGATTACAATTCAATAAAAACTATTATCGAATATAATGCAGTAATCAGAAGCTTGTTTTTTTTGCCTGAGTTACCTTTTGGGGCAAGGCAGATCTGTTTCTTCTGTTTACATTGCATTTTATTCATTCATATCATGCATGTTAACCTTTCTCATAGCCTTTTCATTTGTTATTTAACATTTCTTGTTGCAAGATAATTTGCAGAAAACTTTTAGCAAATGCTTTCAAAAAGTGGTGGGGACATGTCCCCCGAGTCCCCAGTGTAAACGACACCTATGACAAAGTGACACATTGCTGTTCTGATCCACATGTTGTGTAATCTGTTGACAGAACCACACGTCCTGGACAATGTACTTTTACTTCTCCCAGTAACTAGTAGTGTAACTAATGACTTTTCTAAAACAGCAATATTATTACTAGTTACTAAACCAAGTAACGCTGCGTTGCTCGTTACTGAACGCACCTTGATGTGAATCCACGACTGCGGCAGCTCAGCTGGACCGGACCTTCTGTTGTTCATGTCCGCTGAGTGCCAAAAACTACAGGAAGAGAGGAGAACGAGGGAGAGAGGCGTTCTTTCCACAGCTGGAAGTAGCTGCTGCCATGATTGTGTCACAGTCTAAGAAGAATATTGTCGTCTATTGTAAACTCTGTGTGAGATCAGTGTTTGTGGACTGGATTAAGACGGTCGCTACACTCATGAGGCTGCACCTAAGCTGAAGGACATGGGGATCCACGTGGAAGAGGACGAGAGGGACGGACTACACTTTACACAACACCTTTGAAGTTGCACTTAGTGCTATTTGCCCAGAGAAAAAACGCCACACCTTTCT